CACCGCAGGCTCCAGCCCCGCCGTGAGCACCTTGAGAGGGTTCTCGTGCTCTCCTGTCTGGAGCTTCGCCAGTACGCCTCGGGCTGCGACGAGGTCCGCCTTGGCCTGGTCGATCCCCTTCTGGATGCCGTCCAGCTCCTCATCGAGGGCTGCCCTCTGCTCGTTGATGTCGACGCAGCGGGCCCTTGCCTTCTGGATCTTCTTCTTGAGGTTCTCCACCTTCCACCAGGCAGACATGGTGGTGGGTGGCTTGGGCGGCGCCACAGCCTTGGTCTGCGCGGCCGCCAAGACCGCAGCATGGGCGTCCTCAAGGCCCTCACTCTTGAGGAACTCCGCCACCAGCTCGTGGGAGAGCCCCGCAGCAGACGCTGGCGCCTCGCCCTTGGCCTTCGGCGGACCGCCTCCAGCTGGGCCCTGCCCCTTGCCACCGCCCTTCGCCTTGGTGCCCGCAGGCTGCTGGTGCCAAGGGGGCGCTGGCGGCGCTGGCTTGCCGCTGAGCTCCGCCACTTTGACACGCAACTCCTGGATGAGCCTCGCCTGCTCGGCCGCGACTGCCCCTCCAGGCGGCCCGTCGGCCCAGGCGCCCTGAGCACGTGGCTTGACCGAGACCGAAGGGCTCTTGGCAGCCGCGGCAGCCCTGCGCGCCGCCTGGACCACCTTCGCAGGTACCGATGCCCCGCAGCTCCTGCACTTGACTCGATTCGCCCAGTTGTTCCAGCAGCCGCAGGAGCACCCCCAGTAGGGGGTGCGAGCGCCTGGCAGCACATCGGGCTGTGGAACCATGCGCCGCTCGAGGTGCGGTCGCTGGCTCCCCTTCGTGAAAGAAAGAAAGCATGGCTCACAAGCGCGAGTCGCTCTGAAGAACGCGCTTGCAAGCTCAGGCCACAACAGCCTGAGCCAGAACGGCTGGGAGGAGGAGGAGGAGGAGGAGGAGGAGGAGGAGGAGGAGGCAACGCAACGTAGGGGCCTCCCGAGCCTCCAAACTCCACGCTCCGTGGCCTCCAGGACGCCCAGGATGTCATCTAAGATGGCTCCAGCTGGGCGCCGCCGCGCCGAGGAGCCCTCAAAGACGACCAAGATGGCCTCAAGAGTGCCCAGGGAACCTCAAAGATGCCCAAAGGGGGCTCCAAGGCGACCCCCGCGAGGGCCTCAGGAAGCAAAATAATCGTCCACACCTCTCACGCAAACGTTTGTTTTGAAGATATCCGCATGTTGTCTTAATCTCGTCCAAGACGGCTCAAGAGGCTCCCAAGATCGCTCCAAGACGGCCCAGAAGCGCGCAAGAGTGCCCAAGACGGCCGAAGAGGGACCAAAGACGGTCCAAGAGGCGCCCAAGATGACTTAAGCGAGCCCCAACAGGGCCCCAAGTGGGGCACAAAAGAAGAAACTCGAACTGACATTCCGTGCCCTCCGCCTCTAAGAGGGCCCCCGAGACCGCCAGCAGGCGCCCAAGATTCCCCCAAGAGGCCCGAAGAGATACCCCAGAGGGTCCCCAAGACACCTCACCCGTGGACTCATCCCTCGTCTGAGGGCCTGCAGAATGGCGTAAACCTCTTGAGTGAGTAGTTTCTGTGCACCTCAAGAGCTGTGAAGCACACGTGCGACCAGCTCGTCTGGAGTCAGGCTTCTAAGCATGACCACGGCAGGGGAATTTGAAATGGAGGTGGGCGCACCTGTGCACAGGGAACTTTCTCGGATGAGGAAAGATCTCGATTACGACGGGAACGGGGTTGTTAGAAATTCGGTTGCTGGAGGCTTTCGAACTGACAAGAAGCTTCGTGAAGAGGACGGTTGCGAACGGTAGATATCGTAAGTATGGAGAGGCTCTGGAATCTCCGTTCCACCGTTTTTGGAGCTGGCCGATGAACCACAATATTCCTGATCCCGACATAGCGTACTACTCATGTTGCCTCGCAAACTGTACTGGAAGTCGGGTGCCCTGCCCTTTTGTGCCGTGGGCTTCTGCCCCTTGTCCCGAAAGCTGAAGAGGTTGCTCGGTTCTGAGGTCGTCTCATCTCTTGGCCGTCGAATGTCATGAATACCAAGCGAAAGCGATCCTCAATGGCGTGCTGTTTTCTACACGCTGTGGGCGAAGTGCTACGAGCAACACGAGACGGCTCCGTGAACCCTGTCAGCTGCCTTCCCGCAAGGGGCTCGAGGCCGTGAATCGACTAGGGAGAGAGCTCCCGCCCAAGTCGGGATTGGCGAAGTGATATTGGCGAGGTGGCCAAGCTTACACCTGGGAACCACGCTTCCGCCATAGAGCCGCAGCTTCCTCGAAATCAACCCAATGGCCCGTTTTGGAGCGCGTTCCGACCAGGGTTTCGCTGCGAAGCAAGCTGCGGCGGCCACCCCATACGAAGCCCAAAAGAGGCAAAAGGCAACGACGATGACGGACGCGAGACGGACGACGACGACAACGACAACGGATGCGAGACGGACGACGACGACGAAGACGACGACGGATAACGGACGACGAACGACGGTTGACGGCGCATTAAAGGGCCCTGCAGAGGGCTTTTCGGAAGGGGTAGGCTCCTCTCAAAGGCGTGGAAAGAAGGATCACCGCATGCTGATGATAATGATCCCCTCGGGATGATAAAATCCGGGGTTATTGCGGGAAAACAAACTTGATCCCGGAGATATCGACGCTGGGATGTCCGGATCGCGTTTCGCAAGGGACATCCTCACGATCAGAGAGCTACGATCGGAGCTCGGAGGGGATATGAAGGTTCGGCCTCCCCGCCTGCTGTTTGAATTGCACCGCATTCAATCCCGTGGATACAGAAAGTATAAAGCTAAGGGGGATGCATTATTATCCCTGGGTTGCCGTTGTTCCGAAAGCAGGACGGCTTCCACGAGTGAAGGGGCCATCGGACACACAAATAAATACCACAAATCACAGGATCCCCCATGTTTTCCAACATGTCCTTGGGTTTTCGTCTTCCCCCCCTTATTTCCCATGGGAGGAAACGATTTTTGTTTTTTTATATATATATATATATATATATATATATATATATATATATATATATATATATATATATATATATAGGGCGGACGATTAAACAAATTGTTTCGCGGGCCTCCTCGCCCCCGCAATAGCGGGGGGGCAGGGCAGGCAGACGGGGGGCTGACAATTCCGGGTTGCCTGGAAGGCCAGGGGGGGGGGCACGGGGTGGCGATCCAGGGCGCGGGGGCCAGGGGGGTGGACGGGGTGATTTTTCAGGGCGAGCTCGTCCTCCTCCTCCGCCTCCTCCTCGTCTCCTCCTCCTCCTCCTCCTCCTCCTCCTCCTCCTCCTCCTCCTCCTCTCCTCTCTCCTCCTCTCCTCCTCCTCCTCCTCCTCCTCGTCCTTCCCTCCTCGTCCTCCTCCTCCTCCTTCCCCTTTTCCCCCGCTCCCTCCTCCTCCTCGCTATCCTCCTGTTCGCCCTCCCTCCCCCCCCCCCATCCGCAAGGACGAGGGCGGCCCTCTCGCTGTCTCGCCTCCCTTTCCTCTCGCTGTCTCGCCTCCCTTCCTTCTCGCTGTCCTCCTCCCTTTCCCTTTTCTCGTGACTACGCTTTGCGGTGCTCTTCCTGCCACGCCGTGCTCTACAATGCATCGCGTACCCTTTCGGGATCATTGCCCTGCTCGACATCCAACTGTGCGAGTAGAGAAGGGATCTACGCCATGGTAAGGATTGGGAGGAAGGGGTAGGCTGTCATCTATGACGAGGGCGCACCTAGCTTGTCCTCCCCCCTCCTCCTCTTCCTCCTCCTTCTCCTCCTCCTCCTCCTCCTCCTCCTCCTCCTCCTCCTCCTCCTCCTCCTCCTCCTCCTCCTCCTCCTCTTTCTCCTCCTCCTCCCAATCGCCGCGGCCGTCCGCAAGGACGACCTGCGGCCGTCCGCAAGGACGAAGGTGATCAAGCGCCTCTTCGAAAACCCCTTCCGTAATTACCCCGTCCCCCCTCCGCAATCTTCCCCCCGCGGCCGCGGGTGATCAAGCGAGCGAAGAAGAACGAATAGAAAATCAGTTCCCCCAACGGGGCAAAAGCAAACGCCGGGGGGCGGACGATTTAAAAAACAGTTTCCGGCGGCTGAATTCTATTAGTCCGCCCCACTCAATCATTTTGGGGGGTCCGGGGGGGGGGGAGGCGTTTTTTTATCGTTTCCTCCAATGATTTTCCAACATTTTCCTGGGAGTCGACGATTAATTGTGTCTGTGCTTTTTCCCCTCCTGAATGAGGCGGAGCGCACCCTCGTGAAGGCCATACCCCCGCCGCCCCAGCCCGCGAGCGCGCCGCCCGCACGCGGCCACGCGCCGCAGCCCCCGAGCGGGTCTCTGGAGGCACCTTGACTGGGGCCGTACAGGGCAGTTTTTTTTAAAAAAAAAAAAAAAAAAAAAAAAAAAAAAAAAAAAAAAAAAATGAATTATGATTAAATGTATGCATGAGCTCCTCGTTGTTTTTAATGCGCTGAACCCCTGCATTTGTAATACATGCTCCGCACGCGGAGCATGTGTTAAAAACAGCACTGTAAGTAGGTGGAGTCGGAAGATCGCGCCGCATCGCCAATATGTCGGCGATGCATCGGCGATGCATCGGCGATGCACCGGCGATGCATCGTCGACGTCGGTGATGCATCGGCGACGTCGACGCGAAGCAAGTCGGGATCCACATCGAGCCGCATCGGCGAGGCATGGGCGACGCGTCGCGATCCTCCGACCCCATCCATCGGAACCCATCCAGGAGGTCCAGAATCGGGGGCGCGCAAACATGGCTTAGCGAACCATGGATTTGGCGCGCGGTCGCCAGATCCATGGAGTGGGGGAGGTACCCTCCCCAAAGCGCGGCTGGTGCCGCATCCTTCGGCGGCGGAAATCCACGATTTCCCATAGAAACGGGACCGATCGCTAATCCACGCACCCTTGATCCATGTTTGCGATCGCCTGATACTAGGAAACAATACAGGAGGCCCAGAAGACGACGACGCGCCGCAGCCAGCGGGTCTCTGAGGGTCTGGCCCAGTCCGACTTGGAGGCTTCCTTCTGCTCCTCGGGGTCCCCGCCCACGTACATCGTGCTGACCAGCTGCTCCTGGCGTGCGCGGGCCCCTCCCCCTCCTCCTCCTCCTCCTCCTCCTCCTCCTCCTCCTCCTCCTCCTCCTCCTCCTCCTCCTCCTCCTCCCTCCTCCTCCCTCCTCCTCCTCACTCCTCCCTCTTCCTCCTCCTCCTCCTCCTCCTCCTCCTCCTCCTCCTTCTCCTCCTCCTCCCTCTCATCCTCCTCCTCCTCCCCCTCCTCTTCCTCTTCCTCCTCCTCCTCCTCCCCATCCGACCCTGCCCCTCCCCCTCCTCCCCCTCTCCTCCGCCCCCCCCCTCCTCCTCCTCCTCCTCCCCCCCTGGCAGGGGAGCCCCATCCCTTCGACGACCTGATGCCAACAGTGCGCGGCCCCAGAGGCCCCGACCCCTGCCCCGTGGCCCGTGTGCCGCCGGGGGTCCGTGCTTGCTTGCCCCGGGGCCAAGTCGAGGAGAACCCGCAGGCCGACAAAAAGCACACCTCGCGGCGGAGCTCTGGCGTGTTGGAGAGTCGGACGGGCCACGCCGGGCGCGGCGCACGGGTCCTCTCGGCGGCGAAGACGGGGGCGAAAGGCCGAGGGGTGAGCAAGAGTGTGAGCCCAAGGCGTACAAGAAAGTACCCTGGTGAAGGATCCAACCATACAGTCGGGGCACCCCAAATAAGGAGCGAGCCCCCCTTATATTCCACAAGTTGAGCTTCGAGTTCCCACCGGAGACCTAAGAGAAACCTGAGGCAAGCTCCCCTTCCCCCTCCCCCTCTTCCTCCTCCTCCTCCTCCACCTCCTTCTCCTCCTCCTCCTTCTCCTCCTCATCCTCCTCCTCCTCCCCCTCCTCCTCCAGTAAATGGCCGCGCCTAGATGGCGCATCGGCAGATGATTCGGCAGCTCGTAATGTACGGTTGCGGTGGCGTGCAGGAGAATGCAACTAAACAGCTGCGCAGCGCCTCCTATATAGGTGTGGGGCGGCCGCATATGGACATGGCCATTGGGGCCTTCGATGGAGCTCCCTACGGGGCCACGAAAGGTGTAGAAAGTGCACCGAAATCAAGCACCGTCGCCATGCGGACCCTGGCATTTGGGCCTCAGCTGGAACGCTCGATGGGGCCACGAAACGTGTGAGGCGTGTGCCGACATGAAGCACCTTCGCCATGCAGACTCTGGCAACTGGGCCTTAACTGGAGCTCCCTTTGAAGCCACGAAACGTGTGAGGCGTGTGCAAACAAGAAAAACCGCCGCCATGCGGACCCTGACAGTCGGGCCTCAATGGCTGGATCTCCCTATGGGGCCGCGAAACGTGTGAGGCGTGTGCTAAAATTGGGCCTTAGCTGGAGCTCCCTTTGGGGCCACGAAACGTGTGAGGCGTGTGCCGACATGAAGCACCGCCGCCATGCGGACCCTGGCATTTGGGCCTCAAGGGCGGGAACTCCCTATGGAGCCACGAAGCGCGTAAGATGTGTGCCCAGATGAGCCACCGCCGCCATGCGGACCCTGGCATTTGGGCCTTGGCTGGAGCCCCCTGTGAGGCCACGACACGCGTGAGCGGTGCGCTAAAATGAAGCACCGCAACCATGCAGACCCTGCCACTAAAACCGTCAGTGGAGCTCCCTACAAAACCACGACGCGCGAAAGGGGTGCGCTGCAATGTGGCACCGCCGCCGTGCGGACCCTGCTTCTGGGGCCTTAGCTGGGGCGAATGTGCCGAAATGGGCACGGGAGGGCTGAGGCAGGAACGGGAGGCCGATGGTGACGGTGATGGTGATGACGGTGACTATGATGACGGAGCGGACGCGCGGAGGGCAGAGACAGGGATCGGAGTGGGGGAGGACGTTGGAGGAGGAGGAGGAGGAGGAGGAGGAAGGATGGACGGGGGGGGGGCCGTTTTTCTATAATAAGTGTGTATATATATATATATATATACGAGGACCCAACTCAAAACAGGATGATTGGGAAACACCTTTGGGTCAAAATCGCCAGAGCCGCGTCTCTCGGCAGCGCGCGCGAAAATCAATACCCGGGGGAGCACAGAGACTGACATGCTGGCCAGGGGCCACAGGGCCGACGGGGGAAGAGAGGAACGAGGAATGGACCTTCGCCGCCGGCAGCGCCAGTCCCCCCCCCCCCCCCGGGGAGGGTCCTCCTTTTTGTCACTCCAGGGCTCGGGAGGAGCCGATGGTCCACATTTCGGGGATGGACAGACCTCCCTTTATCGGGGAGACGTAAGACCCGGGTACGGGGGACTCGAAAATCCCCGACGAGGTCGTCAAAAAAATGACGAGGCCGAGCCTGCATTTTGACGAGGCCTCCCGCTGCAGACATCCCACGAAACTCCTCCTCGTCAAAATCCGAGTCGCGGTCGTCAAAAAACGATGGCGAACCCGAGTCCCGGCAAACCCGGGTCTTACGCTCCCCCGACTTTAGTAAAACGTGGTTTAGTGAAAACGACCTGAGGCCCAAACCTGGCGGGCGCAGGACTGGAAAACAACGGCCACGGCGCCCTCTCGAGAACCGAAAACGGACAATTCACGAATCGACGTGTCACTGTTGGGGGTTCTGTCCACCCCCGAATATTCTCCCTGGCGAGTCCAGTCCGACCAAGGAGAGAAGAGCACACGACACGAACGTGAGCCCCCCTGCCGGGGCAAGAAGGCCCCCAAGCACAGGGTCACCGAGGGCCCCTCCCGAGGAGCCGCCCGACCTGAGATGCCCGGCCGAGCGAAGAAGAGCCGTGGTGAGCACGGAGAGGCGAGGCCTGGAGCCCCAGCCTCACCGACCCGAGCTGTCAGGCTGAAGAACAGGTCGGGGGCACCCTTCCCCAGGTCAGCACCAGAACGTGCAGGCAAGAGCGAAGAACAGTCGGTCACTCTTCCCCAGCCGAGCATGTCCTTGCGCCTCGCTCAGACCATGCGTGGATTCTCGCGCGCTGCAAACCTGCTCCAAAGAGCTATGGTTGGCGCTCGTCACGGGCGCCCCCCCGGCTCCTCCATGATCGCTGGGGCCGCCAACGCGGCCCCCGAAATGTTATACGTCGCAGCTTGCTTCCACCGCACCACTCCAAGAGCCCTCTGCGCGACCTCGAGGGCAATCAAACCCCAGAGCATGTCAAAGACGTGCGTGCAATGCCTGCCCCTGGGATCTTCGCCCGATCCTCGCCGCAGACGGCCCTGGTTGGGCGCGAATGAGTGGGGGGCGAAAACCGAGGGGGGGGATAGGTGCCCTCTTCGCGCCCTAAAGCGCCCTCTAGGTTCCCTAAAGTTAGGTCACGCATGTCCTCCTACAGGCGGATTTGGGAGGACAACTGAAAAAGCACAAAATATTTTAAATGGTCGAGATCGTCCTCCAACAATGTTTAAATGCTCCTCCTGTCGAGGAACACGTCCGACTGAACCCTGCAAGACCCCTTTTCTGCGGCCCTCGTTGCCCCCCCCATTGATCACCCCTTCAGTACTTGGCAGCGCGCAAAGGGGGGCCGGAGGAGGGGGGAAGGCTTCTCGGAAGGAGGCTGCTTCTTAGAATGCGCCGGCCTTATATCTACAGGCACGGCCCGCGCCGTCTAAGAAGCAAGCGTGCTTCTAAGAAGCCTTCACCCCTCTGCGCGTGGCTGAATTTCGCGCCCCCAAGCCGGGCGCCGTGGCGCGGCGCCCTGGGCCTGCAAAGCGCAGGGGCGTGCGCCCGAGAGCGTGGTCGGCGCGGGCCGCCAGAGCGCTGCGCGCGCTGGTCGGGGGGGCGCACGGAGCGGGGCGCCTGCGCCGCCGGGATGGGGGGAGCAGGCCCCGTACACAGCTCGGAGGCCCGGCGCTGGGTACCCACATGACCAGCCTGGAACATACCCCTATCCCTATGCTGGGCACCTCCTCATCACGATGCCAATCTTAGGGATTCCCCTATTTTGTTGAGGGCGAGTCCCTAAGATTGTCATCGCCTTTTGGCGTGTCAATCTTAGGGATAGGGATACGTTCGAGGCTGGCACCCACACCAACGCAGGGAGAAGACGCTCCCAGAGTTCGGTGTCGATGGCCATTCTTCGGCCGCCCAGGGGAAACCCGAAGCCCACCACCACAACCGCGATCGGGAGCAGCTTCCCTCGGTGGAGGCACCCCTCGCGGGGGCCCTCCATCGGGCATTGGTAGATCTGGGTGTTTAGTGATCTGTACCGGGGGCGCCCCCCCGTCCCATTTCCACTAACCGGAACTGCCGTCACCCGAAAAAACACCAGCTATGGCAACCCTGGTTTAGTGATTCTGGCCAATTCGAAGGCTCCGTGGCCCTACCACTAAGCGGGTCCCCTTACCCGGGGTCCTGGCCATACCCGGCTCCGCCCGCCTCCCACAGGGCGCGTACGCGGCCGGCTGGCCGGCCGCCGCGCGGCGCGGCCGTGGCGCGGCGAGCGAGCCGTGGCGCGCGCTCCGCTCTGGCGCAGCGAGCGAGGGTGGAGAAGGAGGAGGAGGAAGATGCGAAGCGGCGGTTTATCCACATCCACTGCCTGGAAACCGACGTCCTGGTGCCCTGACGGGCGGCGGATATGGGCATATCTTTCGGCCCCCGGGGGCCCGAATATGTCCATATCCACTGCCTGCCGAAATTCCGGCAACTGACCCTCCATGCGGTGGTCATGTAGAAATTCCCGCCTCGGAGGAGAGGGGGGAGGATGCGAGGGACGGGAGGATGAGGGCGAAGCGCTCCTGGGAAGGGCCGCCCAGGCCAGCGCGGGCAGGCCGGAAAGCGGGGAAGTGCAAGACGAGCCACGTCTACGGTAACACGAAGCCAGGACGAGGATAACATCGGTGAGGATACATCGAGGAAGACGAGGAGTAGGAGGAGGAGGAGGAGGAGGAGGAGGAGGAGGAGGAGGAGGAGGAGGAGGAAGAGGACGAAGAGAAGGAGGAGGCACACCTCAATGTCAGCCTCTTCCGACACAGTCGTATTGCTGTCCTGGGAACCAGTTTGGGAAGCAGCGACGGGGCGAGCGCCGGCGCAGTCGCAAAGCCGGCGGGCCGCGCGCGGCCAGGGCAGCGCTTGACAGGGGGGGGGAAAAAAAGAGGGCGGCCGCGGAGGCGAGGCGAGGAGGGCGACCGCGGGGGGGGAGGTGTCCGGCGAAAGGGGGTGCAAGAGGACGAAGTGTGCGCAGGCGCTCGGAGGCGGCCGGGGGAGGAGGGGGAGGAGGGAGGAGGAGGAGGAGGAGGAGGCGGAGGAGGAGGAGGAGGAGGAGGAGGAGGAGGAGAACGAGTTTCGACACAAAAAAAACGAGAAGAGGGCAGGCGGACAAGAAAGGGACGAGACGAGGGCAAACGTCACCCCATCCGAGCCTGACATTGGCCCGAGCCTGACATTGGCCAGGTTTCCGCCAGTCACTTCGCGGGCAGCACGCGCATTTTGCAGCTGCGCCTCGCGAGAACGCAGACACTGCAGCCAGGGGGCCCTGGACCCCATCGGACCCGCATCTCCTCCCAGCACGCAGTGGGCTAAAGGTCATACGTATTAAGCCATGAATTACCGTCGCCGCGAGCACAGCACCTGAATCCACAATAAACGGTACCCTGATGGAACCTGCAGGACGGACACCAATCATTCCAAACGGAGAAGAGATAGGCACTGAAAAACGAAGCTACTCTCTACCTGAAGCAGCGAGGTCGGCGTTGGACCCGAATGTTCCCTGTGTTCCGATTATCTTATTCCGTGTTACGGGCCGAGCAAGACAAGTTTCTTACACTGACGGGGGCGTCTACCACACATGCTTCCAAAGAGACCAAACTCATTCCAACATGCAAACGGTGCTTTGCCTGATAAGTAAAGTGGGAGATGGAAGACAGGGCGAGAGGGCAAGGCAGCAGGAAAAAAAAACATGGAGGACACCCAAAACCCCAAATCCTACCCCCCAACCACTGAACCCAGCCCCAAAGAGTACTCACTACTCACTACTCACTACCCACTACTGTCTACTCGCTATTCGCTACTCACTTCTCACTACCCCCTACTCACTACTCACGACTCACTACTCACTATCCACTACTCACTACCCACCACCCACTACTCGCTACTCACTACTCCCTACTCACTACTCACTACTCCCTACTCACTACTCACTACTCACTCCTCTCTACCCACTACTCCATACTAACTACTCACTAACCACTACTCACTACTCCCTACTCACCACTCACTAATCACTACTCATTACCCACTACCCACTATCCACTATTCACTACTAACTACCCATTGCCCACCAAATAACTACTCACTATCCACTACTCGCTACTCGCTACTCACTACACAATACTGACTACACAGTACTCAGTACTCACTACTCGCTACCCCCATACTCGCTACTCAATACTCACTACTCACTCCCAGCTACTCACTATTCACAACTCACTACTTACTACTCCCTACTCACTCGTCACTACATAGCTTCTCGTCAGTAGTCACAACTCACTAGTCACTAGTCACTAGCCACTAGTCACTAGTCACTACCCACTACCCACGACTCACCAATCGCTACTCACTACCCACTATTCGCTACCCACTTCTTACCACTCACTGCTCACTACTCCCTACTGACTGCTCCCTATTCCCTACTCACTAATCACTACTCGCTACTCCCTACTCGTTACTCACTAATCACTACCCACTACTCACTACTGACTACTCTCTACTCATTACTCACTACTCACTACGCCCTACTCGCTCCTCGCTACTCACTACTCGCTACTCCCCACTCGCTACTCACTACTAACTACCCACTACTCTCTTCTATTCACCACTACTCACTACTCCCTACGCACTACGTACTACCCAATCCTCACTACTCACTACTCACGACTCACGACTCACTACTCACTACTCACTACTCGCTACTCACTACTCACTACTCACTACTCACTACTCAGTACTCACTAATCACTACTCACTACTCACTACTCACTACTCACTAAGCACTACCCACTTCTCACTGCTTACTAATCACTACTCGCCACCCACTACTCACTACGCACGAACTCGCTACCCACTACTCATTACTCCCTACTCCCTCCTCAGTACTAACTACTCGCTACTCGCTACTCACTACTCACTACTCACTACTCGCCACCCACTACTCACTTATCAGTACACACTACTCATTATTCACTATTCACTACTCACTACGCCCTACTCCCTATTCCCTACTACCTACTCGCTCACTACTTACTCACTACGCACTAACTCACTACTCACTACTCACCACTCCCTACTCCCAACTCTGTACTCCCTACACGGGGGGGGGGTCCGAACCCACCCCCCCCCTTTCCAACGCCAAGGGGAGGAGGGGGGGGATCCGTCCCCCCCCCCCCCTTCAAGGGAGGGAGGGGAGGGGGGGGGTTCGGGACCCCCCCCCCTCAAAGGGGGAGGGGGCGGGGGGGTCCGGACCCCCCCCCCCCTTGAAGGGGGGAGGGGGGGGGGGTTCTGGACCCCCCCCCTTTTAGTGTATTCAGGGAGATCCACTGGCGCACTTTCCAAATGAAATGCACGCCTGAGGTGTAGAGCCCAAACACGGAGAACATTCAGGTACCCCTTCCAAACTACGGCTGTTCTCAAGCCGCGTGCCAGATGAAATGCAGGCCTGAGCTGGATCAAATCACAAAAACCTACTCGTATGACCCAAAAGCATGTGCTCGGACGAGTGGTGGCCAGAGGGCGCATGGCAACAACAAACAATCAGCATCATACTAATACTGTGAAGGAATATTAGCAATATGAATAATAATTACGATACTAAAATCAATAATAATAATAATAAGAATAATAATCATACTAATAATAATAACAATAATAATAGTAGTAATAATAATAATGATAATAATACTAATAATAACAATAATAAAAATTATAATAATAAGAATAATGATAATAATAATAATAATAATAATAATAATAATAAGGAGAAGGAGAAGAAGGAGAGAAAGAAGAAGGGGCCATGACATCTGGGAGGTATCCTGTCCCCTGCCATAAATGTCCAACCCCCCTGGTCCTCACCCCCCTCTGAGACGCCCCCCGAGCCTGGGATCGCTCCTCGGGGTCGCCCCCTCCAGGCGGGAGAGAGACGACTATTGGCCCGCGCGGGATCGGCTCGGACCGACATCGGGACCAAAAGAGGAGAATCGGGTCGGACCGCGAGCAGACCCGACCATGGGACCAGCGCGGGGCTCCTTCCACGAGCTCATGCCGTAACTTAACCCGTCGATGTCGACCAGGGCGCCGAGCATTCGCCTCCAGCCCTCCTCGGGCGGGCGCGGTGCCGGCACGCGGACGGGCACCGTGCGGGCGACTCAAGGCAGAGGCCTGGCCCATTACGCGGCGGCTTCATCGGGTCGTTCGGCGGCGCGCCCAGGGGGGAAGCGAGAGGGGGCAGGTCTTCTCAAAAGGCGGCGGGGTTTCTCAAAGCCCTGCAGCCTTCTGGGAGCCCGTCCCTCTACTCGGAGAAGGCTACAGTAGGAGCTCGGCCACAAGAAACCCTCCACAAGACACCCAACCCTGAGACCCCAGGACGTCCATTGATGTTTGGTGTGGAGACTTCACGCTTTCCATTGAAAAACCATCGAAGCCCAAGAAACCCAGGGCACTCTGGAGGCAAGCAGAGTGTTTCTTGGCACGGGCCTACACTAAGAGAGCTTCTCAAAAGGCTGGAGGCCTTCCGAGCCTGCCGAGGAGGCACGCTCCCTCTGCCTTCCCCACCTGGCTCGCCGCCGAGCATTGTGACATTGTGCCTTGCAGTGCGGGCGAGGCAGCAAGAAACCCTCGCAAGAAACCCTGCCCTGAAGATCCGCGCGCGAGGTGCCACCTGAGGGGCTGCCCAAAGCACCCCGGGGGACGCGGGAGGTCACCGCGCAGCGCGCGAAGCGAAGAAGACGAAGATACACTGACGAAAAAATCCGGTTTCTTGAGGAGCGGCCTCACTGTACGTCCTTCCCTCATTTCATCGTCCGTCCCCCCTTTTTACATCATGATCCTCCTCCCTCTCCTCCCCCCCAATTTCCTCCTCATCCTGTTCCTCCTCCCCCCAGGAGAGCCCAGAATCGAATCGATAAATCGGATCGGCAATCGACATGAATCGGATCGGCGGAAATCGGCAGCCGAATCGGGAAAAGTCGAATCGGCGGAAATCGGCAGGCTAGTATGCCTCCAATAAAACATCGTAATCCAAATCGGAAGCCCAAATCGAATCGAATCGGAATCGGAATCCATCGAAGTCGAATCGAATCGAATCGGAGGAATCGAAACGAGCCCTGTCCCCCCCTCCTCCCTCGTCCTGGTAAATAACTCCTCCCTGTCGCATCCCCGAGCGTGTCGGCAGGGCGGGCCCCCGGGGTTCCGCCCGAGATATTTCCTCACCGTTTTTATGATGCGGAAGCTCGAACGTTGCAACAGTTTCACGCATGGACGGCGGGTCGATTGCAAAATATGGCTCTCGCCTCAGGGAAGCCCCTTCCCTTTCCCTTCCCCGACGGGGGGGGGAGGGGGGGTCCCGGGGGGGGTCCCGGGGGAGTCCCGGGGAAGTCCCGGGTCAGATACGACACCTCCCTCCCCCACCTTCTCGTCCTTCTCCCCGTTCCCCAAAACCATCCCACAGCCCGTGCCTCTTGCTACGCATTGCGAACAGGGTCGGCGGCACCGGCCGTAAGGCCTTCGCAATATGGCTCTCGCCTCAACGCCGCGCGAATTCGATATGAAAGTGTGCCACAGTTTTGCGGATGGAGGGCGGGCCGTTTTCAGAATGTGGCTCTCGCCTCAGCGCCGCGCACATTCGTCTCGAAACCTTGCTGCCTTTCAGGTATTGAGGGCGGGTCGCTTTCAGAAGGACTCCCGCCTTAACGCCGCGCACAAGCGTCTTGAAGGCTTGCACTTGTTTCACAGATCAAGGGCGGCTCTTTGCCAGCATTTGGTTATCGCCTGAAGGCCGCGCTCATTCGCTTTGAAGCGTGCAACAATCATTCGCACGGTCGAAGTCCGAATAATGGTGTTCGGGCAAGCTTCAGGTAGTCAGAGCATAAAGGCCATGCTGACTCGCGAAATTGAAGCCCCAGGAGTGGTGGTCTGGCACGGTTTAGAACTGTCAGGACGCAACAGTCACCTTGACTCGCGACGCTGATGCCCCAGGAATGGTGTCTTGGCGCGAACGAAGAATTCCAAACGTTTGTTTCCCAGTGGGGCATTTCCCAGACTAGAAATAAACTGTTGAAGGGCCCTACGAAGAGGTACCTTGGAGGGAGGTTGGATTGAACCTCGCTACTGCATTTTCGGTTTACACTGGTCTCCTCCTCCTCCTCCTCCTCCTCCTCCTCCTCCTCCTCCTCCTCTTCCTTCTCTCACTGCTAATCGCAATCCTCCTCCTCCTCCTCCTCCTCCTCCTCCACCACCTCCTCCTCCTCTCACTGCTAATCATATTCCTCCTCCACGTCCTCCTCCAACGTTGTCAACTCTTCCATCCCCTCCTCCATTTCCTCATCTTGCTCCTGCTGCTGCTCCTCCTCCCCTCCCCCTCCTCCCTGGCTGCCCGGCGAGGATACCAGGAAAGAGAGAGAGAGAGAGAGAGACAGAGAGAGAGAGATAAATTACGCTACCAATGAACCCCACATACTTCGTTTAATCACTTGTGTTCGCACAGCTGACGTGCAACATGTGGACAACGCTCGCAGCCGCTACCATGCTGCTACCGTCGAGAGGCGCTCATAGTGGGACCACCCCCTGCGCACCCCATATGGCGTCGAGAAAGTGCCACACCTGCTTTGTCTTGGACGTGAGGCGCGCATACCGAGACCACCCCGTGCGCACCCCCTATGGGGCCGAGAGCATGCCACGCCTGCTGTGCCCTAGACGAGAAGCGCGCATAGCAGGACTCCCCCTGCGCACCCCCCATGAGGTCGAGAAACTTCCACGCCTGCTGTGCCCTGGACGAGACGCGCGCATAGGGAGACCACCCCCTGCGCACCCCCATATGCCGATGGGGGCAAGAGAATGCCACGTTTGGTGTGCCCTGGGCGAGAGGCGCGCATAGCGGAACCACCCCCTGCGCACCCCGTGTGGGGCCGAGAGCATGCCACGCCTGTTGTGCCCTGGACGAAAGGCGCGCATAGGAAGACCACCCCCTGCGCACCCCGTGTGAGGCCGAGAGCATGCCACGCCTGGTGTGCCCTGGACGAGAGGCGCGCATAGGGAGACCACCCCCTGCGCACCCCCTTTTTATGGAGCCGACAGCATGCCACGCCTGCTGTGCCTTGGACGAGAGGCGCGCATAGGGAGACCACCCCCTGCGCACCCCGTGTGGGGCCGAGAGCATGCCACGCCTGTTGTGCCCCAGACGGAAGGCGCGCATAGGGAGACCACCCCCTGCGCACCCCGTGTGGGGTCGAGACAATGCCACGCTCGCTGCGCCTTGGACGAGAAGCGCGCATAGGGAGACCACCCCCTGCGCACCCCCTAAGGGGCCGAGAGCATGCCACGCCTGCTGCGCCCTAGACGACAGGCGCGCATTGGAAACCACCAGCTGCGCACCCCCTCTGTGGGGCCGACAGCATGCCACGCCTGCTGTGCCCTGGACGAAAGGCGCGCATAGGGAGACCACCCCCTGCGCACCCCATATGGGGCCGAGACAATGCCACGCCTGCTGCGCCGTGGACGAGACGCGCGCATAGGGAGACCACCCCCTGCGCCCCTCTTTTATGGGGCCGAGAGCATGCCACGCCTGCTGTGCCCTGGACGAGAGGCGCGCATTGGAAACCACCAGCTGCGCACCCCCTCTGTGGGGCCGACAGCATGCCACGCCTGCTGTGCCCTGGACGAAAGGCGCGCATAGGGGGACCACCCCCTGCGCACCCCCTATTTATGGGGCCGACAGCATGCCACGCCTGCTGTGCCCTGGACGAAAGGCGCGCATAGGAAGACCACCCCCTGCGCACCCCCCATGGGGTCGAGAGCATGCCACGCCTGCTGCGCCCTGGACGAGAGGCGCGCATAGGGAGACCACCCCGTGCGCACCTCGTTGTGGGGTCGAAAGAGAACCACGCCTGCTGTGCCCTGGACGAGAGGCGCGCATAGGGAGACTTGAGGGGTCGAGAGGATGCCACGCCTGTTGTGCCCTGGACGACAGGCGCGCATAGGGAGACCACCCCTGCGCACCCCCTATGGGGTCGAGAGCCTGCTGTGCCCTGGACGAGAGGCGCGCATAGGGAGACCACCCCCTGCGCACCCCCTATGGGGCCGAGGGAAGGCCATGCCTGCTGCGCTCTGGACTGGTGCTGTGATGAGCTGAGCTGAGCTTGGCTGTGCTGAGCTGAGCTGAGCTGTGCTGAGCTGAACTGCGCTAAGCTGTGCCGTGCTGAGCTGAGCTGAGCTGAGCTGTGCTGAACTGCGCTAAGATGTGCCGTGCTGAGCTGAGCTGAGCTGAGCTGAGCTGAGCTGTGCTGACCAGCGCTGTGAGGAGGAGGGGAAGAGTGAGGTGTGTGAGAGAGAGAGACGGAGAGGGAGGTGTGCGGGTGAGACGCGGGTGTGGCGCGGCAGGGAAGAAAACCAAAACCCCACGAAACATGTGGGGAATCACAAAAGACAGCCGCGTCACTCGGCTGGCGCTCCTCTGAACGCTCCGACCACACAATCGCTCGCTGCCTGACGACGGTCGGTAGCACGGGCCAGCCGAATTAGCTACTAGGCGCAACGCAACCCGGCTGGGCCAGCACTCAGAAGCGGCAGCTGGAAAGCAGCAGCGGCAAGGGGCTGACTGGCTGAACTGCAACGCCCAGGGAAGCTCATGCATGAGCAGACCTGTGGCAAACTGCCTTGGAATTACGAACTGAACGCCGCGGCGCCAGTCCACCACGATGTAGGTGCCATGCCGCGTCTGAGAGTGTCCTGCAAGCACGATCCGCACAAACACTGTAGCAAGTGAAGGCCAGGTGCAAACTGGTCATGTCGCCAGAGAGCGCCGCGCCAAGGGCCAGGGCCGTGTCGACGGCATGGACCTGCCTGGAAGGCTGGGACGGGTCGAGGATGGAAGCACAGCGTCTGCAGGAAGGCTGGACCACTCCGCGACGCCGCACGAGTACCCTGTGGTAGACGCCAGTCCCGAGCAACAAATAGGATGGACCCGGCCCACAAGTGGGGGTACGCGAAGCGTCAAGAATGGTCAATTCCGGATCGATCGTTTTTTTTGCTGCAGCCCCTGGCCCGTAACCAAACCCTGGAGGCCAAAATCAAAAGCAGCACGTCAGTA